ATAGAGCAGGTCTAGACCGTACTCCTTATAACATTATTTACAGAGACTCAACAATTCATGCGAGATGACCTCGGTCAGTTAAAATATAACGGGAATATGGCATTTATGTTTCATGTAGGGTTTCCAATTGAAAATGCACAGAAAAACAGATTGAAGGAAACACACTTAATGTGGCTTTGGAAGAATTCCTATAGTGACATTTTAATGAAAAAGTTGGTTTTAAAACTCCCATTCCAATTAAACATTCTGATCTTCTTCCTAGTTTTTCCTCATAATCCTGCTGGTGTTCATAGCGGAGATTGCAGGAGCTGTGGTGATCTTGGTATTCAGACCTTTGGTAAGTAAACCGAGGGACTTTGTCACACAGAAGGTACTGGTAGCTCAAAGGTGCTGCCTTATGGTACTTGGATTAAAAACTATTGTATGTTTGCATTTTAGTTGGACGAGTTGGTTGTCAAGTTTGGCACGGCAGCAGTTAAGAGCATCAAAAAGGACTATGGGGAAAATTCTGACATCACAGGACTGTGGAATACTACAATGAGCACAGTATGCTGAACAAATTACAAAATCTTTTTTACATCATTTTGCTGATGTTTTGTATAACATATACTCTCTTTGTGTCCAAATTAGTTACATTGTTGTGGATTCTACAACTCCTCAGACTTCACTGACTCTCCATATTATAAGAATCATGGAAGTCATTTCCCACCACAATGCTGTGCAGGCACTGATGAACCATGTACACAATCGGTGGGTATCACAGAGTCACAGTATACCAATTTCAAAACCATTTTGAATGGATAAATGTTTATTCTACCTCTTTTACCTCTTTATTTTCCTCAGACAATCACTGGTTGCTTCCCAAAGATCAAGGATCTGATTGATAGCAACACAGTGGTTATAGTGGGAGTGGCCCTGGGGATTGCAGTTTTGGAGGTATGACCACATCTCTTACCTATTTCTCACTTTACATTACGCGGACATGCATCAGAGAGAGAGGATAAATTACAGTAAATAAAGCCTTATTCAGCATCTGATGACAATGA